TCATTGATTTCCAAACCATTTAACTGGGGCCATTTGTTGAGGTCAGGGGATGTAGATTGAAGAGAAAGTAAAACATGTCTTGATTTATATAGAGTTCTATATACTCATAGGAGTTATTCCTAAGAAAAGACTGAAACAACACATGGCCAAAGTTTTACATAGCTTTGGGTAAACTTCACTGTCAGTCATTTTCCAATACCTCATTAGCAACTGGGCATGATGCACTCTAATTTTTGAGATGAAAATTACTAGGTTAACTGACAAAACAAACAAACAAACAATAAACACCACTCATGTCTCCATATGGGACAGAACCCTGGGCTAGTTGCCATGTCAGTCTGATTCAATGAGATATTTTTATGCTTTTATTATGGCATCTATGTTGGAACATCCTGCATGCAAGTTTGGGATTCCTAAATTCTTCTGACAGTCCAGAACACAGAAGAATAATTTTCTGTCTCATTAAGTAAGCAAGAGAGTCCTAGTTCTTGGCTCTGTTTGGTTTACCCATATGGGAGTATGAAACATAAAAAGGTGAAAGAAATCCTAACAGAATGCAGCAGCTGGTTAAAGGCTATTATACTGAAATTTTCATGAGTTTGACAGTAGGCCAAAAAACTACAAAATGGCAGAGAGTAGAAAAGGCAGTTGTAACAGGTTGAACAATGTTGATGATTATTTCTTCAGTAGCAATGAAAGCTGTAATCAAATAACCTGATAGAGGTGCTGGCAGAAATAAGAGAGCCCCAAGGAAGAGGGAACATGAAAACAGTAACAATGATGTATGCTATAGACTAATAAACTAGACAAACATGCAGTCTCAAGTATCAAAGTGGAGGTTCATATGAAAAGCTGGTGTCGGGACATGCATGCATAAACACTGCCTGATTTCCAATCCACAGCATAACTATCAATGATGTCTTAACACCTCAAGAATAAATGCCTAACTCAATGATCACGTGGGTCTTGTGCTACTGGTATGCAAACTTCTATTTGTATGTAAACTTCTTGTTATTTGGATAATCTGTTGTTGAAAATGCAACGCTTTAAAGCATGCCAAAATTTAGCTGAGATCATAACTTGATTTTGCCAGTGGGAATATGTGGCAGCAAGAAGGGCTGTGAAACACCTTCTTCTAGGCAGGACAAAGCAACTGCAATCATGAACTCACAGCAGAGAACTCACAGAACTGACTTTACTGGCACTGGGTCTGCACATGGTTGGCCCTGCCAACATTCTTCTATGGACTGGAGAAGGCCTTGTGGGAACCCCACTATAGCTGATCAAATTCTGGCTACTAACAAATTCTGGGATTGGGGAGTCATTATTTTCACTTGTGTACCAACTGATAAGCCCACTAGGATTTCATAGAACATTCTGGACTCAGGGTCAAACAGATGGCTGTGGTTAAACTCACTGGGTCATGAAACAAAAGTCATAAATGTGGAAACAAAATTTGTAGGGAAGAAGGAATGTTTGATAAGAGTGGAGAAGAATAATCAGGATATTTTACTTATAATAGTGAAACTGTCAAAGAACAAAATTATTTAAAGACAAAAGACTCTGGAAGCCAAGCAAATTGGGAACTAGACAACTTATTGTCAACTCATTGTCAACTTTCTGGTTTTGGACCAATAAAGAATCTCTGATTATGAATTTTTTGCCAGAACATAAATCCCACTGAATCTTATACTTAAAAATAATTCACTTTAATGGTGGAGTGCACAGATCTAAAGGGAACATCTATAGCATGCTCATTTTCAACCCAAGGCTAAGTTATCATTGAAGAAGAGGGAGTTGAAAGAGTCTAAGAGCCATAGTAGTGGACATTCACAGAGAAACAATATCAGCTGGGTATGATGAGGACATTGCACACATGAACTCACAGCAGCTGTGCCTGCATGCACATGATCTACGCAAGATCAAACCAGCCAAATCCTGTCATGGAAGGGGGAGGGACCATGCAGTCCCAGCCAAACCTAGAATCCACTGGCAATTGATGGCTTCTGGGGAAGAGAGAGTCAGTTTTCTTCAGGGATGTTATATCAGAGAGGCTATAGAGGGCTTAAAAACAAAGCACTTGAAGTTGGGAGGGAAAAGTGATGGAAAGATGGGGGAGGAATTGAAGGCGAGGGATTGTGGAGTGGATTTGATCAAAACACATTACAATCATGTATGAAATTCTCCAACGATAAAAAGAATTTAAAATAATAATTTGCTATAAATATGTTTTATACAATAGTTATGAATAATACAATAAAATGTCGTTAAAATATTTATCATAATGTATATTTTATAAAGACTTATTTTCGATATATTATAGTTCAATATTTTAGACTTCTATTTGAGAAATTTTGTAATCCTCAATTTCAAGTAACTTATTAATGTAGAGAACTGTTCTCCATAAAGTTTCAGAGATGCCTATGAAAAATGAGGTGACGTCTCTCATTCTAGGAATTTTAGAGGCATTTAAGGCCTGCATAATCACCTTTCCACTAATGTCTTCCTGTCTATTGTTTTAGGTCTTTTACTATTTAACCATGAAGAATTAAGCTCTTGGAAATTATCTAGAGACATTTATAGTGGGTTTGAAAGATGATGTCTGATGCCCAAGATTGGAAAAATATTTACATACATACATGCATGCAAATGCATCTTTAAAGCAATAAGGACTTAACATTAGGATCTCGGCATATAGTTTATTGTTAGTGTGTTTGTTTAGTATTTGTGGGACCGTGGGTTTCCATCCTTAGCACTCTATCAACACAACCAGCCAGACCCCCAGGCAACCAACCAAACTAAACTAACATGTTAGTGAGTAAAATTACAAATTTCAAAACAAAAATAAAATTTTTGGAAAAAAGTTCAGATTTTAGGATTCTGAGTTTAGATATGGTCATTGAATAACTAAACTTGTTGATTCCAATAGCTGAATAGGGCCTTAGATATCATTTAAGTAAACACTATTTTATAAATGAGAAGTTAAGGTTTATATAGGTTATTTGCCCATGACTACATAACTAATAACAGCCAGAGCTAGAATTTGTGATTTCATTACCACAATCATTCTTCAGTATGTAAAGGAGTTCTTGGTAAACAGCACATAAAAATGTTCTCTACTTTCACTGGGAAACAACAAAGAGACTATTTTACTGGGAAGTGGAGAATTAAAGCATTTAAAAATTTTCTATTTGTAATTTTAGATAGTTGAATTAATTTCTACTGCCCCATAGCAAACTAGAGGATGTCTTGCATTAGATTTAACACTAAAGCAGTGGTTCTCAACCTTCCTAATGCTGCAACCCTTCAGTACAGTTCCTCTTGTTGTAGTGATTCCTCTCAACCAAAAATTATTTTTGTTGCTACATCATAATTTTTCAACTGTTGTAAATTGGAATATAAATATCTGATATTCCAGAAAATGGACATGTGAACACAAATGTGCTATGACCCACAGGTTGAGAATCACTGCACTAATTAAGAAGAGAAATATTTAGGGAAAAAGGGGGACAGTGCTAGAAATCCCTGTGAGACTATAAATGAACCCTACACAGTAATTCAGAGAATCATTGCATAATACTGATTTTAGATGATTCTAAACTTTCATGCACAAAAGTAGAAAAAGAACCTTTATTGCAACTCATAATGGAAATTGATAAAAGTGAGTTTGCTGATGAACTTGTAAGTCTTAAATATCTTAATCTGAAATGAACTCTGCACTGACAAAGGCATTGAGGCACTAAATCACTACAAAGACTCTAAAAAAGGACCCAGAAAAATACACACATTTCAATCTATGTATTATTTAGTAAATATGTACCATAAATTGTTTAAAATATGTAATTTAGAGTCATGAATGGAATAAATTTTATATAAAAATGAAACTACTTTGAAAGACAAGAAAATTATGAAGTAGGATGAAAACATATTAAAGAAGATTTTAAAGTTAAAAGATAACTAATTTGGGAAAATTTTATTGAGATAAAAGTGAAAAGATATTTCTGAAGACTATGTCTCGATTTAGAGTGCTCTTAAAGTCCCTTCATCGTCATTCTTTTGAGTTAACAAAATAGAGGCATGGAATCACATTTCTTGAGAATTGAAGTAATGAAGATCTAGGGCTGCAGTTATTGTTTGGGAACTGAATTATAAAGAATTGAAAGGTAGAAGAATAAAAGCAGCCTCAATAAAAGACAGCAGGCTGGGAAAACATTTAATATTTGTATTCAGACTCATGCCAGAAGAAAGTTCAAAGATTATAGTTGCTACTGAAGGCTGTTTCATGAACCAAATTACTTCTAATCATTGGTGGGGGTAGCAAGTTCAAAGTTAGATTTAAGTTAGACTCTTGTGTGATTGATGAGATACTGGTAAACCATCGTAACAACTCAATATTCTTTCTCCGTTCTTTTCTGTGTCAACTCAATGTATCATAATTTAAGTTCCATAGAACATCCATCCTTGGACTCTTTTCCTTGACTGGCACAAATGGTCCAAGAAAGAGTTCCACTCTGATACTATTATTAGGTAACAAAGCCTGAGAGCTACACGTTGAAAATGACCACTTCAGCTCCACAGATTCTGGACCGTCTGCCTATGTGTCATAATTCATTTAGACAGTTTGTGTAAATATCACTTGATGAATCTTCCACCTCTGTCTGAAGAAGAAATGCAGAAACTCCCTACATAAATAATATTTTTCTGTCAAATAACCACTCACAGTCTCAAAGATATTATGTGGATATTTTTGTTTTGCTTCAAAAAATCTGCTCACCCTCAAAAACTCACCTTATATGCTTCATTAAATGCATTGTTCCTGAAAGTGATTCCCTATTGCATCAGCAAATTTACAGGGCTAATTTCAGCATGAGTTTACTATCTAAGTTTTCTTAGGAATAAAAAGAAATAGGTATTGTGGAAGAGCGTAACCATTTTTAAAAAGAAATTCATTTGTGAGCATACAGATCAGAATCAATAAATGCTCTCTCTTTTTGACTTACTTGATATAGTAGGGCACTTTGTTTGGTGAGATGGCTCTCTCCCAGGGACCCTGGACTGAAGCTACAAAAGGAGAGAAAAGAAAAACAAGAAGGTCAAATCCATGGCAAAGAGGAAAGAGGACATTATATCACAAGAATACAATTTTACACTGATATTGGAGTGTTTGCTCAGTTGCTCATGAAGACAGGATGGATTAACCTGCTGTTCTGAAACTTCTGGCTTCAACTAAGTGAAATGGAACTCATTCAGGCACAAAGATTAATGCAAAAGGCCAGGAGGATCTTTCTATAGCTAACCCTATACTAGAAATGAGAAAATGAATAACAGACTGATGGCTTTACTTCACTGAGTGCTTCCATTATAATACTTCCCGTTGCTACTTTTCAATATATTATTATTTGATTGACTGAGTTTTATTACTTTATCAAATTAAATATCCCTTGTGATTTATTTGCATTCTAAGGCATTGAAAGGAAGATACTATGTGTATTAATATGTTATGCTTATTTTTATTTGATTAAAGAGGATCCAAATCCACTTACCAATTACATGCTTAATTGAGTACTTTGAAATGTCAACTGTTCACCATATTATTAGAAGGAACAACCAAAGGTGACAGAATGACATCTAATGATAGGAAAGGACAATAAAATTTTATGGACAGGCTGGTCACATATTTGTGTACTGCCTGTATTTGGAATTCATTTAACAACTTTATTTTACATAAGTCAAACCAATTATCTTTAAACTGCTCTATTTTAAAGTTTAAGGTGAGGCCTCATTCTGTACATCATACTGGCCTTGAACTTAAGATTCTGCTTCCTTAGCTTCCTGAGTTGCTGGAGTTACAGGTCTGTGCTATTATCACCAGCTCTCGAATGTTTTTGTTTGTTTGTTTTTCAAGACAGGGTTTCTCTGTGTAGCTTTGGAGCCTATCCTAGCACTCACTCTGGAGACCAGGCTGGTCTCAAACTCACAGAGATCTGCCTGCCTCTGCCTCCCGATTGCTGGGATTAAAGGCGTGCACCACCAAAACTCGGCTCTCTTAAAAGTTTTTAAATGACTAAGTTGTAGGGTTTTTCCCATTCTTTACTAAAGCTCACCCACTAAAATATCTTTTATGTACTGCTTATGTCTGATATTTTTCTTACTGGAAGTCAAAATAATCCTGTTGAGAAGGCACTGTGACATCTCCTCAACAGTGCAACCTTCCTCCTGAATAAAGTTTTAAGATATGGGAATTTCAAGAATCATACATCCTGGGTTGAATATTTAGTACAGAAAAACAAAACAAAACACTGCATATGGAACAGCATCTGAAAAAGAAATATAAAAGCATAATCTAGCAAGTCTGTGTGTTTCTGCACCTTCATCCAATTAATAATTGGAAGCACAGCTGATGCTATTATTTCCTTCACTAAAATTCTTCCTTCTAAAGTTAATCTCACAGTAAATTTACTTCACAGTGTATTGAGATGGAAGAAAACGTCAAAGCTAATATATCATTGACTACACTGTATAATATGAAAGAACAGCTTCTGATAAAAGTTAACTTCCCCCATGCCAGACAATTTAAGGGTAATGAAACTCCAGCTTCTTTGTTTTATATGGAGTAATAGAAGGATTGCATTACCCAACCTTTAACCAGGCTTTGTCCCTTGGAGATAAGTCATTTAAATGATATAAGAAATGGATTTGTATTTAGCAGGTAATTATGCTTTTATCCTTTTTTTGCAGACAGAAATCCTTAACAGGGAGAAAAAAGACATTTAGCTGCTGCTTTGAAATACTCCCTAGTCTTCCATTTCTCTCTGTCCTTTTATATTCTTTCTTCTCGTTCCACTTTGCCTTCCCTTCTTGCCTTTCCACACTGCCTTTGACATTCTCTGCCAAATCTTGCCCCTTTTTTCTTCTTCTCTATGTTACAGCTTTTTGACTCTGATTACTTCACACTGTAAATAATGTTTACTTTAAAATCACAGCCTAGACTAACCAGCCTAGCTGGTCAAATCTTATGCTCTGAGATTCTACAAACCCAAGCCGGTTCTGGTAGGAAGCATAATGGAGAGGCAGTGATCTTATGTCCTGGCTGATTAGTGAAATCTCTTCTTGAAAATTGTGCCATGTATAAATGAGAAAGAACAAAACTCCAGAGAGCATTTAGAGGCCTCACCCTTGCTACCTGTGAGGATATGAATGGCTACACGGACAAAGACTACCTTAAATACCCTTCCCCTATAATGAGATTGATGGCTACCTTAAATGCCATCCTAGAGCCTTCATCCAGTAGCTGAGATCCACAGCTAAGCACTGAGCTGAACTCATGGAATCCAGTTGTAGAGAGGGAGAAGTGACCAAAAAAGAGCCAAGACCACACTGGGAAAACCCGCAGAAACAGCTGACCGGAGCAAGTGAGAACTCATGGACCCCAGTCTGACAGCTGGGGATCAGCATAGGACCAAACCAGGCCCCCTGAACGTGGGTGTCAGGTAGGAGCACTGGGAAGTCTATGGGGCCTCTGGAAGTGGAACCAGGATGTATCCCGAGTGCGTGAAAGGACTTCGGGAGCCCATTTACCATGGAGGGATACTCTCTTAGCCTAGATACACCCAAATGACTTGACAGATTTTGATGATCCCTCATGGAAGGCCTCACCCTCCCTGGGGAGTGGATGGGGGATGGGATGGGGTCGGGGTGGGTATGGGAGGATGGGAGAGAGAGGGAACTGGGATTAATATGTAAAGTAAGATTGTTTCTAATTTAAATAAAATTTATATAAAAAGAATGTCTATTACTTCTTTAAAGTTCTCTAAGGAACAAGACTTCCTTCATGATTCTCTCATTGCCATTCCTAGTTATTTATTATAAAGGATCAGATATTTTTTCTGATTCCAAGGAGTAGGTATGCCCTCTTGTAACAGAAAAATGAGGTTTTTTTTTCTAGACTGTTTTTATGTATCTCTTAGTTGGAAGTGTGCTGGAGATGGATGTGTGTTCTGCAGCAGCTTGGATAAATGACATGCTGCACCAAAAGAGGTAGAGTTGGGGGCCTGCCTGGCCTACATAGCAAGACTTGGTATCAAAATGCCAAAAAAAAAGAAAGAATGAACTTTCAATTGTGCAACCTGCAAGATAATGCATGGTACTCAGCGGGGCTAACAGCCAGATTTACCTGAAATGTCTATGATTCACTTTGCATTGTCCAACATCAAGAGACAAACTCCCATTTATGTGCCAGAGGAATTTTCAGAATATGCTTGCTAGATGATTGAAAAAAAATTAAAAAAGAAACAAAAACCCAAGTTTCATTCAAATAAGAACCTTAAAATAGTTTTTAAAATTGTATTTGTCTTGGTGGTTTACTGGCATACATGTCCATGCATCATGTGTCTGTTTGGTGCTTATGAATGCTAGGGGTCGCCACCCCTAGCAACTGAAGTTACAGACAGTTGTGAGCTGACATGTGGGTGCTGGGAAGTGAACTCATATCTGTGCATTTAACCACTAATCTGTAGGGGAAGCTGTAGCCACGCCTACTTAGGGGCTGGCTACAGCTTCCCCTACAATTCCCCTTTCAGTCTACATACCTACACTGATCCCTCTCTCTAGCCTCAATAAGAATTCTTTACGCTTTCCTACTTACAGTTCTTCATTGTTAGTCTTTTCTTCTTAAAACTTAAAAAGCAAAGCAATGAAAAGCTCTTTCGTCTTTGTGTGCATCTATCAAATATACCCAATGGTGAGACGCAGTGCATTTTCCTCCCATAAAGGATGTTTTTCTTTTGACTCAGAGCTTACACATTCACCTATGCAACTACTTTTCAGTAATAGTTTAAAACCCTGAAATTTCATCCTCAAAAATGCCTTTTATGGCCGGGCGTTGGTGGCGCACGCCTTTAATCCCAACACTTGGGAGGCAGAGGCAGGTGAATCTCTGTGAGTTCGAGGCCAGCCTGGTCTCCAGAGCGAGTACAAGGATAGGCTCCAAAGATACACAGAGAAACCCTGTCTCAAAAAAAACAAAAAATGCCCTTTATGCAATTAAACATAAGGGTAAAAAAGCCTCCTCCTAGTCCTTTGCTCAACCACCACTAGATGTGCATCGGTTGGACTGCAGGGCTTGCTGTAGAAATAACACAGATAAATGACGGTTCTATAGGCCTGGATTTGGTACTCTTCCAAAAAGATTCTTAGGATGTTGGCAATTTCATTCAGAGCTACCAGATGACTCTGGCCTCACATCTATTCAAATCTCAATCAAATATGGGGTAACTCTCATATGTGTACCCCCAGAACTATCATTTCATTTCTCACAGTAGTGCTGATGCCAACAACAGCTGTTTCTTATCTCAGCGCACCAGTGGAAGTCTGTCATCCTTTGCAAAGCTGGCTGTAGTAATAGACACACACATCTTTTATGGCTGATGTTTCCGTTTTTAGTAGTCCATCACAAGCAGACTTATTGGCAAATAGTTTTTATGTGACACCAGGTTGTCTTTTGGCATTTTTTTATACACATGTTTCTATAACCACTATGTGTAATTCCAAATTGGGGTTTTGTAATTTATATTCTCTAGTAGAAAAATCATTCATTATCATAAAGCATCAGCACCATGGGATATTTGTCTACTGAATTTAAATAGTAAACCTCACATGAATTTATTTACTCCAAAGCCAACTTGTGATTTTCACCCTGTTACAGGTGCATCATGTTATTAAGAAGAAGAAAGAATAGCAATTCTACCTTCAAATGTTTTCTTCCCTTGAGGTGCCCAAGGTTGCTTGAAAAATCACAAACATGGGCTGCTCTATTTAGAGGAAGTACTGATTTCAACCATTTTTGATGAATAATAAACAGAATGTGCCACAAGATGTATGTCAGTGCTTAGCTATAATTTAATTGACAGAGGGGCCTAACCAGTGAATTTTAAAAATGCTAATGTTATAAACCATGTCAAATAACATTCTCTGTAATTCCAACTCAAACACAATCATTAACCTTTTGACTTTACTTGGAGCTTCAGATAAGATGGTTGGATCAAAAGAAAACCAAAACAAAG